TTAACTCACTCCGGGCGCGTGTGCATGCATGCCCAAGATCCCGAGAGGAGAATGGAGGAGAAGGGATTGCGGCGTGGCCATCCTCCCCCAGGGGGTGATTTCTCACTTTCTGTCTCTCTGTCTCTCTCTGTCTTTCTGGTGAGTGCATGTGCCCTATAGCAAAAATCTCTCCAAAGGAAAAAAAAAAAGAGAAAAAGGAATCATTTTTATTTTTGAGAATTGTCAATGAAAACATTCAGTGATGGACTGCATATGAGCTGACTGGGCACCGGGGCCTGGCTCTGGGGGTGATGGGGTAGGGCTAATTTCTAAGGCAGTGATCTCTCTGACCATGTTGACATGTCCCCTACAAGCACCAGCATCTGGCATAATTTATCAGCCAGTGCCTGGCCTCTGATTTTTCCCTTTCACCTTTTTATTATTGAAACTTTTAAAATAAATTTTGCAGAGGGGACATGTGCTGGCCAGAGAGAGACAGTGAGACAGAGATAAGGAGAGAGGGGAAAAGTACCCCCCAGTGGGGTATGGTCATGCTGTCATCCCTTCTCCTCCGTTTCTCCATCCTGTTGGAATTCTATGCATGCATTGCAAATGCACCTGGCAACATATTTTTCATGTTTCCAGGGTCAGCATTTGAATCATGTGACCAGTCATGTGAGATCCAGCTCCCTTAACCATTAAGCCACAGGGCCAGTCCTCCTCCTCTCACCCTGTTGGGGGGTCGAACATGCATGAACAGAAAGTTCTCTGTGACATTGTACTAAGACATCTCTTCCGGGCACTGTGGCCACCAACAACTCCCTGGGTCACTGTACTCAAGGGTAGCAGCAAGAAAGCCATTTGGAGAGGTCGACCCAGTTTAGAATTCAAACTTGCTCCTTGACTATGCAATTGGAATTTATTTCCTTGTTAAAAGGCTTGAATCTCAGAACAAAATACCTCTAGCGGGGCTTGGGTTTGAGTGTGATGATCCTAATGGAGAAAAACTGATTTATTTCCCTAACAGTGTGTACCTAGCGGCATCCTCCGAGCCTGGCATTATTAAGTGTGTTACCATAATACGGCACAGAATCTGAGGCAATTTGTATGTCCTTGGGCCCAGAATTAATATGTGCTTTGTATAGTCTTGTAATTTGGGAGGCAATTTTCCATAACACAGTAAGAGATGTTCCTTTATACATTTGAGATAATTTAGCTCAATGTTCATTTGGAAAAATTACTGTGCTAATAGCAGCTCTTCAGCCTCAGAATGACAGACCCTATTGGGAGAGTTTGGACAAAAGCTGGAGGAATTTCCCCCAGACCAACAGCTGCTTGAGGTTGCATGGCAGGATCTGAAATATTGTATGAACTCATGAACTCCAGCTTATTTGCTTAAAACCAATAGCTCTTAATGGAGGGATATGAAATAAAGGTGGAGAAATAACGAATTTCCCCATTGTCCAGGTAAATTGGATGTCAGAGCACATAAATCAGAATTTCTGTATGCTTAGCTATGGGAACAATTTGTTCTTCCTGCCAGACTTTTCTGCCCAAGCTATGAGGGATTAGATGCAAATGAGGGAGAATGAATTACATCTTTCTGTTGGGTGTGTTATGCCTCAGGCTTTCTGGGTATTACGTACCAGGGACCTTTGTTATCCTAGGGGGGAGAAATTCTCTAGCCTAATCGGAATTCAATATAATAATAAAATAAATGTAAAACACTTTTTCTCCCAATCAGGAATGTGGTTTCTAATGATGTTGCTTTAGAACAAATCCCAGGTAAGTCCCTGGAAGATGCAAAGTCACTTCGAATGGCGTTCCTGCCCTCTGGCAGCTGCTTCCCACAGTGATTTAAAGCTGTGCTGTGGGTATTCTCTATATCAGATGTTGTGTGGGCATGAAGAAGACCACGCTTTTGCTAAGAGACTCTCGAACTTGGCCAAGTGCTCCATCAATGAGCAATACTTGTCATTAGTGAAGTTACTGATTTCATAAAGAGAGGAGCATTACAGAATTCCTCTAAGTTTCCTGTAACTGACTGTCAAAGTTGAAAATGATCGGGTCAACAGGCATCTGGATTTGGAATGACCCTGTTTTAAAGCCCAGTTCGTTTGCAAAACCAATCAGGACACAGATCACAAAATCTGAATTTCGTAAGCCTTTCTGGGCAAGAAGCACCTAGGGATTTCCCAGTCACTCATTCATTAATTTAATTTTGCCAGGGAGCACATCCTCCTTGGGGAATGGTCATACTGCAACCCCTTTTGGAATTTTGGGTATGCACGTACACATACCCCTCTGGGTCCAGGACTCAAACTGGGCAGTCAGTCACGTGAGTTCCAGCCACCTTCACCCTACCACTGACTGGCCCATGATTTTCCATTTTATTTATTTATTTATTTGTAAGAGAGATTTTTGCTATAGGTGCATGCATTTGAGAGTCAATCATAGTATGACCAGGAGGAGTGAAAAATGAAAGGGAGAACACGAGGGTCCCATTGTAGGCCAGCTTAGTCACCTACAGCCATGACCCGGACACTTCGATTTGATCTCTGGTGATGGCATATATTGGATAAATAGAAGCTGACCACCCTGGATGAAAATAAAGGGGGTATAAAGGTAAGGTTTTATGAAAACAACTCAGTCCATGAACAATAAGTTCAAAGTACTTCTCTGCGAGTGGTGGCAAGAAGGGGGACAGCAGCTGCTAGCTAGAGGCCACCTAAAAGCTCTTCAGACCCTCCACATCCCTTCCACACTGTTGACCACCGATATGCCAAGCAAATGTTCACCTCAGGGCAATGTGCTTCATTTAAGCTAGGGGTCCTTAACTTTCAGAGTGCTTTGGAGTTGCCCAGAGAACTTTTTGAAAATACAAATACTGAGGCCCCATCCAGAGATTCTGGTTCAATTGTCTGTGAAGAGGCCCTGACGTTTTGCTTTTATTTTTGTGTTGTAAAGTGGGAACTGCTGATTTAAGCCATGGTCTTGAACTCATCAACAAAGGACAGGACGGACAGGGGAAACAATTAAGGAAGATTGAAATCACTGTCTCCTGAGGGTGGGAAGAGATGAACAAAATGGTGTCTCTTCCCACCTTTCAGACATCTTTGCATAGCTTCTCTTTGATGAAGCCCAAACTTCCTGGAGCTTTCCAGGGGCCCCGGTTTACTCCAGCAGGGGAAGCCAACCTGCCTGATGCACCAGAGGAAGCCAGGCTCTGGCTGTCCTGCATGTCTAGGTTGGTTCAGTGAAACATTAACTCATTTCTTTGTGGATTGTAGGGGTTTTGTGTGAGGATGAAGTTCAGTTATTCCTTGGACAGAGGGTGTGAACCCTGACTCGTTTCCTGGGTATGAACTTACTTAGGTGTGTCTTCGGGAGTAAGGCTCAGGGTTCACCTTTGGTAAATATTTTACCACAAGTGCTTTTTCTGGTTTCTTCTCAATGTCTTAGAGAAAGTACATTCGAACAGTGCTTGTGGAAGATGTGAAATGGATAATTGTTGCATCCCTGGCCTTTTTGATGGAAGGGCAAGAGTCAGCCCAGGCAGGAGGAGGTGCCGATATTCCCAGTCACTTCTCAGCTCCCAGAGGGCTGCTCTCTGAAGCATAAACACCCACTCGTTACTCCTTCTCCCTCCACTGCTTCCAAAATATGGTCTCCAGCAATGACCAGTGGCCTTTCACAGTGCTGACTGGCTGGCACCTGTCCACCTAATTTGGAGTGTCCAGGAGTGGTGAGATGAAACCAAGGAAGGCAAAAAGGTCAGGCAGGACTTCGGTAGGCGGGCATTTCAGGCACGAGCTTTGGCAGCTCTGTCTCAGAAATGGAAGTATCATGCTTTAATTTGGCAAATAGGTTCAGGACACTGTATCTATATTTTTAAAAGTTACACTATGGTTTTCAAAAGCATGAGAAAGTTTAAGAATACTGGGAGGGGGGGAGTCTATCTCCAAGTTTACTATTAAGAGATATTTTAAAAATCTTAGTGGCTCATTTTTAATAAAGCCTACATCTTGACTTTGAGTTAACATCTATGGCTCACCCTGGGCTTGCAACACCCCCCAAAATATCGTATTTTAATGAAATTGTTATAAAAAGAGAAAATACTTTCTGGATTATTTATTGAGAGACAGAGAGAGAACTTTATACATTAGGAACTGGTGCACTTAAATTACATGACAGATGACCATAAAAACCAGGGGTCTTGTCAACCACACAACTTCAAGTTTATATTATTACAGTTACTGATATTTTAAATAATGAGGTAAACAAAAATATGGATAAATTATGGCAAAACAAAAGGCAACACCCTCTCCCCAGTGGAAAGAATACATACATAAGTTAGAATGTCAGCTATTACAAATAGCTGCACGCAGAGGGCTATAATTGCCCAAACCCAGAATTTTAGTCGATTTTGCTGTGCATGAACAGAAATAGGAAAAAACGACAGCGATCTGACCCAGGAACACCCGAGCAAGCTATGCAGGCATCTTCGATAGTGCCATTTCCAATGCTCATCACATGCAGCGTAGGCATTTAGCATCCCTCAAAGACAGGTTTTTCTCCTTCAGTCCTTGATAGCTGGCTAGTGGGTACTCACACTCACATTCTGGTGGGTGACCACGCAGGGACCTGGGCCTCTAGCAGCGAAAGCCTAATCGTTGATAGTTAGCTCCGTGGGCTGCCCACGCCACACACGACATTCTTAGTACTATTTATTCAAGAGGCTTCTAGTTTCTCATTTGGAAAATTGGTAGGAGAAAATCAAAAGAACATCTTCATATGGTAGAGAAAAAGAAAATCCTGTGTTTGTGTAACTTTTGAGCCTGAGAAAGGCTAAGTTCATGGACTTTATAGATTCAGTTCTGGATAGTTTTATTTCTCTACCCATGGGCCTTGGTGACATCATGACATTCCCCTGAGTTTGGTTAATGAAAGCAAACAAACAAACAAAAAGAGAGGTTGAAAAAACAGTATAAAACAAAGTTAAAACATAATGGAGTAGTATGTTTTGTATTTCCTGGTAGAAGTGCCAGTGGCACTAAGAAGCCAGTGTTTGTACCATTCTGTGCTGACAACATGTTTCCACCACGAATCCCTTTCCTCATGAGGTTAAGGCACCAGGTTAAACAAAGGCGAAAAGGTCTGGCGTGCATCGTGGAATACGCAGGCTCCAAGCGTATCTTTGTGAAGAGTTGCAAGTAGGGAAGAAGCAAAGGGGAGCCACGTTTAGTTGAAGGGCCCTGCAGGCTTCAAGGGGTCTGCTAGACTAGCCCAGAAGCACTAGGCGGCAGCGTGTAAGGCACTCCTACGGGGAAGAGAAACACGTGGGAAGGCCAACTTGAAGAAGGAGCCACAGGTGCCAGAGGTCAACTAGCTGGTTTACTAGCGATGAGGCCTAAACCCGGGCTGGGGCTCAGAGCCAGGGGTGAGGGAGTCCGAAGGGAGGGGAGAGGGCTGGTTTGCAGCTGCACAGTCAGTAGGAGAGTATCCTCACTGTGCTGGGAATTGCTGGAGGTGCCTGGATCTTCTTCCCTGGCCAGAGCTGGCCCCCTTTGAGAGCTTTCTAATAAGATGAGCAACCAGTGGCTTCTTTTCTCTTTGGAAAAACAAACAAACAAAAAAACAAAGCAAAACAGCAGTTGTCTCATCTGAGATTCACGGTGCCTTCCATCATGTCCACGTCGTGAGGAAAGTGCCACAGAACACAATCATCTGGAAGCCACTTTCATAAATCTCTGACGACGACGGGATCTAGGCGAGAGGCCACACACTTCGTTCTACCTTTACCTGGAGTTCAACCTTGGGCATTGCCTCAGCCATGCACCCACCGAAACACACTCAAGAACAGCCATCGAGTCAGAGATTTTTGAATCCAGTGAAATTCGAAGCATCTGTGAACAGGAAGACCGCTGGGAGCTGAGGCCTGTCAAAGCTCTCCCACAGCATACCAGTCCAGTGTTCGTCTGTTTAGACGAAGTGAGCAGGGCTCATTGAGCCAGCACTGGCTGCCGCCTGGAGCAGTTTGTCACTGGACTGAGGGCCCAAGGGTGGTACGAGATGGGCGGCATGTGAAGCTCCGACTGCCCATCCCCTCGGGTACCAAGAACAAGAGCGGAGAGCACGGCTAAGGACTCGATTCGTGCACACGATGGGGTGTTGGTTTCTTCTGGTGCTGCTCCCCATGCTTTACTTTTTCACATTATTTCAGAGTGAGAAAAATGGGCCAGAAAACTCCAAGGAGAAAAAGGAGAAAAACTGCACACATCTCTATTTACTATGAGACGTAGAGAATAAGAAGAAACAAAATAAAATAACCTCTGCATTGAGGCCAAGCAGGGTTAGAATTCAAGATTTATTTCAGGCCTGCTCTATAGCACAGGAGTTAAGTGCATAGGGAGCTGGATCCCACATGGTCAGCCACAGTTCGAATCTCAGCCCTGGTTACTTGAAAATCATGCTGGGCATATGTGCATGTGTGCCCCAAATTCTGATGGGGTGGAGAAATGGAGGGAAATGATTGCAGCATGGCAACGCTCCATGGAGGGGTGCTTTCTCTCTGTCTCTCTTTCAGGCGAACATAAAAGAAATGTGTCCATGAGTTAGTTATTTCAGTAAAGTGTGGCAGATCAATGGGGAGGGCTAATTCTGCACAAATGTCTGAGCAGCAGCCCTGGTCCCACCCTCAGGTAGGAGAGGGGCACTCTCTACTTGCTTGAGTAATGCCTCTCTCTGCAATAGGTGCTCAGTGTGTCACATCGCACTAGTCCCAGCTGAGAGAGTAATTTTACGTCTGGACTTTCTGGGCCAGTGGTTATAGAACAAATCCCCAGGACAAAAAGCTCAGCGTGGAACTCTCTGGTGTCGACGTTCAGTGTTGTACACTGACACAGATAAGTATGGAGGCCAGCCTCCTGCAAAGGGCACGCTGCAGCTTAGCAAGGGTTGAACTTGGAACCAGGGTGACATAAACACCTCGGTTCTCGCTGCAGCAGGAAGGAAATCTCAGCACAGCCCCACTTCAGCAGTCTAAAAACACCACTGTGCTGGAAACCACAAACCCCAAGCACTAGCCATATTCCTTTTCAGTGAGGCCTGGTCTGGAGGAATCGCACAGCCATTGTCCTTCTCAGCTAACCAAATGGGAACGCGCCTAACAAGACGACTCTTTAGCCCCTCCAGATGTGAAAATGACTGAAGTACAGTCCCCGAGAAGGCAGAGAAGTATAAGTGGGCGACGAGAGTCTACACGGTCTTCATATAAAGAGGCTTTCACCTTGGGGGAAAGCGGTCCTGGAAAGAACAGTACTCCCATTCCAGTTGACTGCTTTTTAAGTACTTTGTGGCCTTCCTGCAGCGGTGCAAACTGAGGTCTATTTTAGGAACTGGCTTCTTCTCTGTGAGGTTAGATGCCAGCAGTTCCCAGGGTTGGACGGTCTCACACATGAGTTTCTGGCACTGGTGGGAGGGATTTCCTCAAGTGATACACCAGAGCACAGGCCTCGCAATGAGAAGTGGTTCCCGGAGTTGGCTGCCCGCTCCAGGAGACGAGCTGGCCATTTTCTCACATGCTTTATGTGCAAGATCTTTAATATGGGATGAAAAATGGAACAGGAGGAAAAGCAGGTACTAGGTCAGTCGTAAGGAGGTGGTAATCCACAGATTTGCTTTTGTTTCAACAGTCTCTAAGCAGTGGAACAATTGCCTAACAGTGCACCAAGTGATTTGTTAGGGTTGAAAGCCGTGAGGGCGTTCATGTGCTCTAGGCATTCTGGGCTGAAAATAGCCATTCTGAATTTTCATGGCATACCCAACTCCTAAGCTGGCTGCACTCTGTCCTATCAGATTTGGGCAGCTGTGGCAGAGAATGTAGTCTGTGGCTGGCACCGGTCAGGCTGTCAGGGTTGTACAAAAAGGAGACAAAACAGAAGCAGCTGGGACCCAGTTCCAGGTCTGGGTAGCTGATGGTGAGAGCACATCTTTTTTTTTTTTTTTTTTTTCCCTTGTGAAAATAAGCAGTGGAAAGTGGGTGGAAAGTTCTCAGGAGTTCACAGAGACTGCCAATACTTAGCAAGGGCCTGTAGACGGGCACTGGTGAAAACAGTGGTGTTCAGTAAAGGGATCCAGATTTGCACCCTGGATTCCCGGCAGTCTGCGCGGGGGGCCAGTGAGCCGGGGCGGGAAATGCTGCACGGCGAGCAGACACATTAGAAGGGAGGAGAAGGCCCCGCATTCGGGGTCTCTGAATGCAGTGTGCTGGGAACGGCTTCGCTGACAGTCGCAATCACAGATACCGTAATTACAGCGAAGGCAAAGGTAAGCTGCAGTGACAGCGAGCCGGGGGCGGAGGGAGAAGGCACTTTGCCATGGGAGACATCTGTTTTATAATAAGCAGGTCTATAATTCTCTTGTGAAAGATCATGTTCTCCTATCTTCTCCGAGGCTGGAAAATATAAATACTGTATTTCACGAAAGGGAGGAGGAAAGATGATCAAATTTGTTTGCCGGTTCGCCAAGTGTTTGAGATTTTCCACTCTTTTTGTGTGCAACCTTCTCCATATAACTAGAGTGCAGGGGTGCGGGGCAACATGCTTGTCGAAGAGTAAAAGGCACCTTTAGGTGTCTCACGAATAGGGCCCTGGCCTTTGAACACGTTTCTGTGCCGTGGATAGGACTACTGGATAGGCAGAACCTAACTGCCTGTGTGGTGCCATTAGGTTGAAAGGTGTGTCTGGGCCAAAGGAAGTGGCGGGTCAGGAGGTGAAATGTTTACATCTATCTGACAAGAGTCGGTCTGCAATGGCACACCTCTGAATGGGAGCATTGTGGGCTGGGATCTGGAGGGAGCAGGGTGCGGGGAAAGGAGCCGTGGGTTACTCTGTGGGCCACGGACACCCCACGTCCTCCTAGCAGGGAAATGACTAGGCCATGGAGACGCAGAAGGCATCAGCTCAGTGCGGAAGATGCAGAACCTTCTCATAAAGCCTGCTGAGAACGGTTTCATTTATAAGCATATTTTCCTGTTCTGGAAAGGGCTAAGGGAGAAGCGGGAGGAGCCATCAGGTTCCTGGTGCTGTCCCGCCTGCAGGTTCAGTGGCCCCTACACTGGCTCCTGAGAGGGTGCTGCGGCCAGAGACCACCTCCCTGCCAAGTAGCAAAGCAATTCGTCGTGTTTCTTATTCCTACTGTATTATTTATTTTAGCACTTTTTCTTTTGACTTTAAGATGGCAATTATATGTATGTGCATATATATATATATATTTAAACAACATCATACTTAATTCATCAATTATACTTGTAGGTTTGGTATTTTCTTCATAGTCTATGGTATTTTGAGGTTCCAGGTTACTCTGATTTTTCAAAGAATCAAAAAATCATGAAAGCAAGCGTGGTTCAACCGACAAATCAAAAGTCAAAATGAAAGTGTGATGAAGAATAATAAGAAGTAAAGTGTTTTAAACGAGTAGCGAGAAACTGCCTGCACAGGTTTCTGTTAAACTGAAGGGTGTCCCGTGGGATATGCATGCCACATACCGTCTCCACCGGTCTACACACCACGTCTTTACCAACACTCCGAGCGCATCCTGTCTGGCCGGCGCCATGAATAGAACACAGGTCTCGTCTATGACACCCTTGGAAAGGGCTCTCCAGACAGCCATGTTCACAGCCTGGCAGACACGGGGAGGAGTCGCATCATCAGGCAGGCACAGGGACTCCGACCAGCAAGCTGACCAAATGCATGCAGTTACTTGTTGCAGGGAGAAAAGCTTTTCTGAGATTATCTCCAGAACCAGAACCAGTTCTGCCCTTACGTTAGGGCACACGCTTTCTGTCAGAGGGAGCTCACCCCCTGGGTTTCCGGCCACTGTGCTCTACATGGTGACCCCCCACTTCTGCAGGAGAAACTGAGAGGAGAGCCCAAGGGACCCTGGGTCCTAGAAGGCTCCAGGAGTCATCCTTGCGCTTCGAAGATTTTCTTGGGAAAATAGGTGGTCATGGGTGCTGGCCTCAGCTACCTCAGCCTCTGTGAAGGCTAAAAATAAATAACACAAGATTAACCTGGAGCGTGTTGTCCCGTAGGAAATATTTCCTCCTGTGTCTTGTGTAATAAAATGACCCCTGAGAGCCAAAAAAAAAAAGAAGTCTGAAGTAAAAAGCATGTGTGTAAACCACATTTTGCCTGGGAGCAAGCAGCTGAAATTCATGGCTAACAGTAGTTCAGCTATTATCATTAGTTTTTTTGAGCCACAGGGGCTCTGTGGACTTTTTAGACAATGGTTTATACAGAACGTACGTACAGGGTGTATAGGTATGTGTGTATACGTACATATAAATAAATATATATATATCTACATATAGCTGAAGATGAGACAGATTCTTCTTCCACAGGAGCTTCACTGGCTAGCGAGGAAGCCCCTCCGGGGCTGAGGGATCGGTGATCAGGGCAGCCCTGGCTCGGGTTGCCTGAGTCAAGTGTTCTGGTAGGACAGCTCAAACATGGTGCAAGCCTCCTCCAGACTCTCGTCCATGTTCAGCCTCCGCCAGAAAGACTTCTGCTTCTTCTGCAGCTCTCGGCGGACACACCTCGGGCAGGGCACAGACTTTTCTTTGCATTCGGCATGGAAAACAGCTCCACAGCTTTCACACCTGCAAAAACCAACCATGGATCTGATGAGTGAGACCGAAATGAGAGAGACCCAAACATGGCGTCCAGGGGCTCAGGGGCCCATCTGTTGCTCTGGACAACGCAGCTCATGGGAAGAGAAATAATGGGCTGCATGGAAGTAGGTTGTTTCCTTTTCCAAAAGGTTCAAGTTTGCAATTCGCTTGAAAAACTTTTTTTTTTTTTTCTCTGATTAGAATAGCTTGGGGAGAGGCTTCTGACTTATGGGAGGAGGGAGTCGGTAGTCACCTGGGAACTCTGGTCCCAGTGACAATGGCCAGAGCGTGGGAGTGCCACGTGCTAGTTTCTTAAGTGAGAAAGAAGTGCGACGTGCTAGTTTCTTATGTGGACAGTAACTAGAGGGTGAAGTGACAAAAACCGAGGGTGAAGTGCCTTGCCAACCAAAGAGGCTCAGCACAGCAGTGACAACCCCGGCACCGCATCCGTGGAAACGTAGCTCCTGCGGCAGCTGCCATGAGCTAAGTGGTTCTCCGGTAACTCACTACCTGGATCTGACCGTCTGAAGAGGTGAAAATGACACATTTTTATTTTCTGAATGATACCCTGTGGTCTACTCCTCTTGGGAGTTTTCATAAATTAGGAAACATCTCCCATCTTGGCAAGTTTACCTTTATAACCTAAGTGTAAGCAAAAAGGCATGAGAGAGTGGAGAACACTTTTTCCCAACATGACAGATGTAATTTATAGAGAGGAGACATTCCAGGTGGATGACTAGTTTGTTGTTCAGCCTGGTAAAAGCCTGCACAGGAGTCTGAATGGCTTGTTTTTACTGCAGAGTTTTGAATAATGAGTAACTGACAAGCTCAACCATTGCAGCTCCAGAGAGCTGCTTGCTGATGTGGACTGAGTTCTCCTCCTTCCCCACGAAAGTGACAAATGACTTTTACTTTGTCTTAGGAGCCAGGGAATTACACCTGCATAATTTTGTGCAACTGGCAGCATCCAGAGAGTGTCTAGCACTGGACTGCATTCAAAGAGAGCTGCAAGAATGAGTCCTCGGGGCTCAGTCTCAAGCTGCCGCTGCTGCTGCTGCTGCTGCTGCTGTTTCTGCTTCTTTTCCCCCCAAGTGATAGAGCGTGCACATGTGCACGGGTGCATGCGAGACAGAGGCGGTGGAAGTAATCTCACCAGGATCTCCTCACACATGGTCCTCCTTCCCCAGCCCTCTAGATGCTCAGGATCTTGGGTACTCATGTTGTGCTTGGCATGCTTTAGGCTGACCAGGGGTTCAGAACCCATGCTCCCTCTATGGCTTCCAGCCACTTGAGTTACTGTTGTGCCACTGCAGCTGGGCCAGCCTCAAACTTTTTTCACTTTTCCCAAAGTGCCTTGAGTTTCAGTGTTGGGCACAGGAGGGCCTTTGGGGCATGATTCCCTAACCTGCCACCAATTTACCCCCAGCACCACCCAGATTCAGAGGGTCTGGCCAAAGGAAGATCTTCCTGCCCACCCTTTCTTTTACCATGGAGAAGGGACAGAGACTTGGAAGGAAAAACCCTGAGGAGGCAGATGCTGTTGTAGCTGAGAGGCTGGCAGGCAGCAGCTTCCCTGCACCCAGCAGTCCCTAACCACAGCTCAGCCTTGGGACCAAGGGAAGGGTAGGGATGGTTAGAGGAGTGGGCGAGGGACTTTAATCACTCCCTGGCTGTCTGTAAAAAGCACTAGGTCCCTCCAGAATTCCCGAGTTAAAGCATACCGGTGTGACTGCATTTGGAGATAGGGTGGTTAGGAGGTAATGAGGGTTAAATGAGGTCATAAGGCTGGGACCTCCATCCCATGGGGTTAGCATCCTTAGAAGAAGGCAGTACCCATGACACAGAGGAGAGGCCACGTGAGGACACAGACAGAAAGTGGCTGTCTGCAAGCCAGCAAGAGAGGCCTCACCAGAAGCCAGCCCTGCTGGCCCTTGATGTGAAACTTGACCTCCAGGACGGAGAGAAAGCCATGTCTGTCAAAGCCACTCAGTCTGTAGTATTCTGTTTGGCAGTCGGAGCCCACTAAGATAACAACCTTGAGCAAGTTATTCATCTTTGTGGGCTTCGGTCTCCTCTTCTGCTAGGAGACAATGTCAGCACCCCCTCCTCACGATGGCACTATGGGCTTCAACCGAGATCGCGAGTGGCACACTTAGCATGGGCACCGGCATGTGCACGGGCTCAACAGCGGTGCCAAGGCTGCTCCTGCTGGCGTGCCCTGCGCTGCCTGCTGCCGTTTCTGAGGTTCCACTTCAGCCCGCCTTCCCCTAAGTCCTTCCACTGAGTCCCCTCATGTCACAGATGAGAACACTGAAAGTCTAAGAGGGCTAGCAATGGTCTCCCAGGGACACAGTGAGCCGGGTGGCATTGTGACTAGAAACCAGGGCACCTGGCAGCCCAGCAGGGCACGTGCCATGCAGCTGGGCTGAGGCTTGGCCACTGAGAAACACGGGCTTCCAGCCAGAACACCTAGGCCATATTACAAATCTTTCTTTGTAGCAGGACAATCTTGGGCGAGTGGTTATTTTCTTGGTGCTTTGGCTTCTCCTTGGTAAAGTCACTTACGCTGACTTTCTTCCTACTCATGGGGTTGTTGTGAGACTAAAATGAGCAAATCTCCATGGAAGGATCATGTAAATGAGAAGCATGAGACCACGCCTCACTGGTGACTCCATACCTGCCGCTGTGACCCTGGTCTATACTAGACACAGCAGGGTCACCTCTAGCATCTTTTCTCTCCGGCTTGCTTCCTGGGGTGCAGTCACTCAGGTCTCCTAGTGTGTCGGCCTTGACCAGCTCCTCCCAGTGACAGTGGCTTTGTCCCCACTGGGTCTCACCTCTGTAACCTCCTCTCACTGAAGTGACACTAATGGTGGCTTTATCAAATAATTTCTCCTTCCTGCCCCCTTTGCCCTGCAGGGTGAGTCAGTGATTTATACACCCAGGGATGTTGCCCTGGGGCAGTGATTGATAAGGAGGAAAGCTGGGTTCCTTCAGTACCACTCCCTTATCTCTGTTGATACCAGGCCCCGTGAGTGTGAAGAGGTACAGTCTTATCAGATATTTCCATGGGGTATGGAGGGACTGAATGCACCTGCTCCTTCTAGCCAAAGGTCAGTAACTGAAACCAAGTATGAGATTAAAAAATGAATGATTTCAAAATAGAAGCAAGTTCTATTTTTTAATAATTTGTAATCCAACATCTTTTAAACTGTGGTATATATAGGTTAATCAATGACCTTCCAAAATTCAGCAAATCTATAGTTAATTCCTTCTCCCACCCTCATTGGTCTCTTTGAAGGAAAAGAATAAAAGCAGGAAAAGGAAAAGAAACTGTTTTCTTACATAAAATGAATAGAGTTGTGTAACTGTAATAAAAGTGTACTGTGCAGGAAGAATATTTACATTAAAAATGCAATATATAGGTGTGCTCCATTTTGAGAATAGGACCTTACTAAAAAGGATTTTCGATTTAAAAAAGATTCACGGGCTCCTGTGTGTTTACTCTTTCCTGACTGATTTAAAACATGATTTATGGGCTGGCCCTGTGGTCTGGTGATTAAGGGAGCTGGATCCCACATGGCCAACTGCTGTTTGAATCCTGGACCTGTTAGGTTGAAGAGCATGCTGGACTTGTGCGCATGTGCACCCAAATTCCTGACAAGATGAAGAAATGGAGGAGAAGAGATTATGGCCTGATCATGCCCCATTAGGGGGTGCTTTCTCCCTCTCCATCTCTCAGCTGTCTCTGACAGCACGTGTGTCCACCGGTAATTTAAAAGAAAATATGGGACCGGCAGTTAGTGTAATGGCTATGTCGAAAGAATAAAAGCAGGAAAAGGAAAAAGAAACTGTTTTCTTACATAAAATGAATAGAGTTGTGTAACTGTAATAAAAGTGTACTGTGCAGGAAGAATATTTACATTAAAAATGCAATATATAGGTGTGCTCCATTTTGAGAATAGGACCTTACTAAAAAGGATTTTCGATTTAAAAAAGACACGGGCTCCTGTGTGTTTACTGTTTCCTGACTGATTTAAAACATGATTTATGGGCTGGCCCTGTGGTCTGGTGATTAAGGGAGCTGGATCCCACATGGCCAACTGCTGTTTGAATCCTGGACCTGTTAGGTTGAAGAGCATGCTGGACTTGTGCGCATGTGCACCCAAATTCCTGACAAGATGAAGAAATGGAGGAGAAGAGATTATGGCCTGATCATGCCCCATTAGGGGGTGCTTTCTCCCTCTCCATCTCTCAGCTGTCTCTGACAGCACGTGTGTCCACCGGTAATTTAAAAGAAAATATGGGACCGGCAGTTAGTGTAATGGCTATGTCGCTGGACTCCCATGTAGTCGACTGCGGTTCGTGTCCTGGATCTGGTGGCTTAAAACTCACGCTGGGCGCGTGTGCGTGCGTGCCCAAGATCCCAAGAGGAGAATGGAGGAGAAGGGATTGCGGCGTGGCCATCCCCCCTGGCGGCAGGGGGGGGGGGGGATTTCTCGCTTTCTGTCTCTCCGTCTCTCTCTGTCTGGCGAGCGCACGCGTGCTATCGCAAAAACCTCTCCAAAAGAAATATGATCTAACACTCATGACTTTTCAGGAATGCACCTTTCATGTAAGGCTACTGTAATCATCTCTGCTGACGATTGCAACAGGTGACAGATGACAAAGGTCTTCTTGGTGTCCTAGTGTGACGCATCCGAGGAAAGTTAGTGTCTTCATTTCTGAGTCATCCAGGGCAGCAATAAGCAGTTTCCTTGCTTTTTGCTTATTGCTGCAGATCCCGGAACACGAAGACCTTACGTCCTCCCTTCCCACAGTCACAAAGGATATGGCTGCAGGAGACATGCTGGCTAATGACCAAAGGCATCCAAAGTATTTTTCTACTGTTTTTCCTCAAATGCATCCATCACTTCGCTTCATTTAGAGACCTCGACCTTGCTATCACCGACATTTGAGCTGGAGAGACCTTGGATGTGGGTGGGATG